AATTGCTAACCAAACATTTCGATAATAATTCTATCCTTGGAAACGCTGACCACTCTTCCTTGTCTAGGCTTGTCAATGAGTGTTCTTATTTTCGTGCATCGTTTCATGGCCATCTGTACTGTGTTCTCGTAGTCATCAAGAAATTAACAATGTCCTACGATGCACAGCTTCTTCCTCGCGCACGCGATGATCGCAGGTCACCTTAGGATCACGTCTCACCATCTCAGAGATACTGGCAGTTTTACCCCAATAACGATGCAGTTCACAAGAGAACCTACCTGCACAACTATTTAGTAGCGCGCCAAATGAAAATAATCGATATCTTTTTCTAATGATTTTTTGAAATTTGGCGCAAGTAATTTTGGGACACCATGTAATAATATGACTGGAAAGTGCAACATACCGTGGTTCTGACCGTAATACTGACGCGGAGACCACCCCCAGACACACATACAGGAAAATCATGCCAAGCTGAAATTTAAAGAGATATAGCTTCGCGAGTAATAATTGACGCGGTACATAAGTGACCAAGATGTGAACAGTTAATAGAGTCAATGATAGGCGAGAGTAGGTAGTAAATTCGAGCGAAGTCATTCGAATAGATTTATGACAGGAGGCTGCAAATTGACAATCCCCACTGTCAGACGGATTCAAGCGCAATCATTGGAGAGTATGAAGGTTGAGGAGTGATATAATCATAGATTCATTCAATGCAGGAGGATGAATTGAAAGCACCAACAAATACTGAACAGAAGAAAATGGCCAGGTTCAAACGGTGCGTTGGAAAGATTTGTGTGTAACACGAAAGTTGTTTGAGCCCTTGAATAAGGAATTCGTTAACATTCTGTCATTCATAGCACCCAATGGGCTGCTGACCTTGTTCTCCACTTCAACCTTAAGCTCTTGAGATGGAAGGTCCCAGAATTTAACGGATCGCCAATCCTTCTCTTTTTTTACTGCTTCAAACTGTACTCAGCTGTTGTTGTTTCCTCAAGAACGAACACTTCACACATGTACTAGAGACTTATGATTATCAGCACTTTCAATGGAATGGGTTCTTATCTACTGGTTCCCCATCAATAGAGTACCACAACAAGAAAAATTCTAAAGTGAGGTGCTGCCTGAGAAGGCTCAGCGTAACTGGATAAGATAATGGCGTGGTACATCTCGCGTTGATTAGTAGTTGTTCGGAGTTTGTCGGAGATCTGCGATGGACCACAATGAGCCAAAATCGGGTTATAGAGCTGCGAAGCAATGGCACAGCTATAAATCGACACAAAGTATGCCATTCTGCAAGTGGTCGCTACAAATCTCAGAACCTACTCGTACTTGTACCAGTGTTCTTGGTATACAGTAGCGGTCAAAAGTTTGGAAACTTTTTTATTTTTGATCTAGCGTAGCCAATAGACAATGAAATTGTCCCCGAATTCACATATTATATTCAGAATCAAGTGTAGATTACGATGAGCAACATAATTTTTTGAAAACTGAAATCGCATTTGAAAAATACGAATTTTTATAAGAAATGGCGCGTCAAAAGTTTGGAAACTTCCGAATTCCAAAGCGAATTCGGCAAAATAGCTCTCGAATCCACATGATAAATTAGTTATTCGATGAGTAGCTGTGAATTTCTATGTCAGCGTCGTTTTTATTGACATGGAGTTGATTATAAAATAATTTTAGGACTTTTAAGTCGAACCCTACACACTGTGAACTAAATCACATTGTTTGGTGGGATTCTTAACTGGAATGTGGGTTGAGCGACATGCCAGTTCTTCCGTGGGATGTAGAACTCAATTAGACTTTAGATCTTGACTTGGTCGCTTCATAACAGCTTCTTTTTCTGGGTTTAGGAAGGCGGCAGTGAGGAGGTAGGCCTGCATTGGGTCATTTCCACGATAGAAAACCCATCTTTTCGGCTAGTTCTGACTATCGAAGGAAGCATTAATTCTACGGACTATATTTGTACTGGCCAACCCACATTTCGCTTGGATACCTAGAACTGGAAAATCGCCGAATGGTTGGACACATGTTCATCCATGACAGTACTTTACCGCTATTTCTGATTGTTGGAGACTGGTACTTATAATTAGGTTTCCTGTTGATAAAACACTTCAGGATCACTGCAACTTTAGTTAGACAGTAACTTCATGGCGTTCGCTGAGGGCAACTTTTACCTTCTGCGCGGACATGTTAGCGTTAGGGTTGGGCGGGGTATTTGGGCCATCCTGATATTGAGTTGACAAGGGTTTTGTTGGACATCATCCGTAATTTTCACCAGGTCGCGGCCAATGTTGGGATACACTTGGACTTCCATATGATTGGGTGAAAACCAGAAAAGCCGTCTCTTAGTTGGTGATGTCGTGGGTATGGGACGCGCCAACCACCCTTCAGAGTATTTTAGGAGGGCCAATTTTCTTGTGAGGATACTTTTTTGTGAATGATCATTCTTCTTATGCTTACTCGACTCCAATAACGCTAGAACATTTTCGAAAATATTGCTTCCGTAGAGAATGAACTACTGAAACAGTTTCAATTTCGTATTCCGATTGTAGGGTTTAAAAGACTACCGGTGATAAGCGATTCCTTGTTATAGATTCGTTCTGAATACACATTGCTCAAATGGTTTCACAGAAATAAGTAAACATTGGAGAGTAGGAATATAATGATAAGGGAAACAAAAAGTTTCCAAACTTTTGACGCGCCATTACTTGAAAAAAATCTTATTTCTCAAATATGATTATAGGTTTTTGGAAATTATTCTTCCCGTCGTATTCTGAACTTGATTTTGTATGGAATATCTAAATTTGGGACAATTTCGTTGTGTGTCGGCCGCGCTAGATCAAAAATAAAAAAGTTTCCAAACTTTTGACCGCTACTGTATGTAGCTTTTGTTGCGATCGACTCAGCAACGAATTACTGCAAGAATTGAACCAGTACTACAAAGAAATACCGAAAATTTACATATAAGAAGCTTTCCCTAAACTGTTTTATGCAGCATAAATCCTTTTTTCCGGAAGTGGTATCTCAGGTAAAGTCCATATGCGTTTCAAATCCCGATTTAACCGCCTCTTTACGATCCCCCCTCCCAACTGAGACTCCGATACGACCCCTTTTCTGTACTACGCAGTCGTGCTAGCCCTACAGCAATTTCACGATCAGAATTATATCACTCAGCATGGAAACGTCACTGACACGATCTGGCCTGGGTGATCCGATCTCGCATGAGCTCTTCAGCGCCGAACATGGGAATAATGGCTGACGTATTTCAAGTACACCACCGACCTGTTGACAACTAGCACCTACAACACCGAACATCGAGCAAGCAGGAGCGAATGCTGGCTGATTTCGACTGCGCCTGTGGTAAGGTCGGTCTACAGCTGAACCTAACGAAGACGATGTTTATGAGAAACGGATTGGTTCCTGATGCCCCATTCACGCTCAACGGAACGAACATCACCGAATGCTCAAGCTGCGTATACTTAAAGGCACGCTCCGGATTAGGCGCGCTCGCCTGTTCCATCCGGGGGTAGTAGACAGGCGGACAAGCGTTGATGTCGCGCCCCTTTTGCCGCTTGAAAGTGCGCGACAAAGGCGCAAGGAGCTCGTCCGACCCGCAACTCACACCTTCGTCCGCAAGCCCCACCCTCCGCTGTCGGTTGCCACGTGGCGCTGCTTGAAAAGCGCGGGCGCATTTGAGGCAGCGCCCAATGTCATTGGCACTGGAGCAACTAGAGTTAGGTTCGTGAAACTCGTCCAACGCGCCCTTCTCTATCCCAAGGTGGAATGTGGCTGAAATAGGGGAGGTCTCTGTACGGGGCGTAATCGGTGGTTTCGTTTGCTTTCCTTCTCTTTTACAGACCACCTCCCACCTCTAGCTTCATAACTGAACGCTTTTCCACACCTATTTTATCCCGAATCTTGCCTTTAAGTCAGGAAACCAACATGATGAACGATCTAGCACCATAGCTGAGCAAAAGGGAACGAGTAGCTTGACGAACAGATAAGATCACGACTAGTGAAGAATGCGAAAAACAACTAACTCCGTGCCCACCTTTTCAATGCTGCAGTCCAACGTTTCTCTGTATGACTCAAAGACACAGACCTTGCGCAGGTTGAACGATCGTACTGCCAGGGTCGTCCAACACGCCTCAGAGAGAGCAATGCTTATAACTTTCTACACGCGCAAGTTTGGGAGGAATCTGGAGTTTCGAACTTCACCCGTCAGTCTGAGCGCTGGCATTTTCGCCAAGGAATCGAAGAACATGTGGGTCCGACGCGTGACGCGATTTTGTGCAGATGCAGCAAGCGAGATTCATGCCTCTTTCTACTTGACCTGCAACTTTTGAATCGAAACTGCAGCAGTGGAAACCTGTTTGGGAGCAGCCATATTTACTATTCTCGGTTCGTGGAAAAGAGTTCCAAGCAGGGTCAACCGTCACGTGACCGACGCTTGACCGCTCGCCATGCGTTGGACTTTGTCCAACGGAAGGTTGACCCTGGTTCCAAGGGGGGACCTGAGAGTTACCGATCACCAAGGATTACATATATTTTCTTTTTTGAAACAGGTATGGCAGCAAAAGCTGCATAGAAGGTAGCAAAACAAGTCTACCTAGTTGGTTTTTTCAGAATTAGAGAGTCATGACCTCCATCGTTGCAAAAAGATGGGATTGAAATGTTATCAAAGGCACGGCTAAAAATGAAATGGTCCGTTTTGAAGTTAACCAAATGTTTTACTATCGCCTTGACCTTTACGAACAAAGTTCAAGCTACCAACGTGGATTTTGTTGCCGTCATCCGCTTGACCTGGCTATGAATCACTGGTGCTAAATAAGCGTTGGTTATAAAATTCACTTCTGTGATCCCTTTGCAAAAATGATTCTTCTTCAGAAGTTTTCAGAACGACGCCCTTGATTCTGTTGGCAATAATACAGCACGCTCACAAAAAACTGAATATTTTGGCACACCATGATTTTGCGAGATTCGCAGAGTTATTGCGAAAGATTATAATGCTAACAGCTGACTGCAGGGTAATCTTTAAACGAAAAAGGAGAAAATTGAATAAAACAGAATAGCCGGAAATTTGTTTAACCAGGGGAGAATGCAATCGATGCAAATGATGTAAAGGTTACTTGGAAATCAAGAGTTCAAAAACGGAATGTCGAGAATGTCTGAAATGTGAGCAGTTCATAATTTTGATGGCTTTTGAGAATTTGCTGGATATTTTCAGTTACCTCGACGTCGTTGTTTTGAGATAGTACAAGAAAAGGTCGTTGTAGGTCGTTGAAGAAAATTGGAGCTACTGCTTCAAAAGAATTGCCTTTGTAGGTAAGACAAAGGCCTACCCACTAGGAAGGGCCTACGGCACTGACAATGAGCGACTATTCCCGCAGGCCCTTATTTATAATTCGGTAGCGGAAAGAGTCAAACGTGCCTATTGTCTTCGAGATAACGGGCCTATAAAG